GACACTTCAATGTGGTTTTGATTTGCATTTCTCTGACGACTAGTGAGGCTGAGCATTTTTTCACGTGTCTGTTGGCTGCTCGTATGTCTTCTTTTGAGAAGTGTCTGTTCATGTCTTTTGCCCACTTTTTGATGGGGTGTTTGTTTATTTCCTTTCAGCACATTTGACTTCCTTGTAGATCCTGGATGTAAGGCCTTTGTCAGATACATAGTTGGCAAATATTTTTTTCCATTCTGTGGGCTGTCTCCCCGCTCTCTTGATAGTTTCTTTTGCTTTGCTTTTTCAGTTTGATGAGGTCCTCTTGTCAATCTTATCTCTTATGGCATAGGATTTTGGGGTTTTGATCAGGAATTGGTTGCCTATTCTGATTTCTGTAAGGGTGTCTCCTGTGTTTTCCAATATTCTTAATGTTTGAGGTTTTACGTTTAGGTCTTTGATCCATTTAGAGTTGATTTTTGTGTATGGTGATAGGTAGGGGTTCTGTTTCTTTCTTCTACACGTGGTCAGCTAGTTTTTCCAGCACCATTTACTGAATAGGTTCTTCTGTCCCCAGCAGTTGTCGTTGGAGGCTGTGTCGAAGATGAGTTGGTTGAGAAATTGAGGTTTTGCTTCCGGAATCTCTACCCTGTTCCATTGGTCTATATAAGGCCCTGCTCTTCACTCAGACTCCAGAGAGGACAACTGAGAGGGAGGACTCAGGGTACTCAGGAAACAGCCATCACAGTCACAGAATTAGAATAATGCTGGAGATACAGCGAAAGACAAAGCAAGCTTAATTTCACTGGCGTCAGGAGAAGCACACTTTACAACTACTGAGAAGTTGAAGTGACGCTCCCTGCCCAGCCGCCAGTTTCACTCTTTGGTTACTCCTCTGTGCTCATGCTGCCAGCCAAACTTTCTACAAATCTTCGTATGTGAGAAGAAAATAAGACAGAAACTATTTCCCAGCACCTTTCTTTTTTGTGAGGATACTCTTGAAGCTATTTTCAATGTTTCAGTTAAAGCAGAGCCAATGACTCTGTGTATGTCAAATGAGAATTTGTTAACTTTTAGATTTTCCTATTGCTCATTTTGGGCTCATCTCTAGTTTTTTCCCACACTTTTAAAAATGTGGAAATAAAATTCTGAGTGTGATAATCTACTACTCAGTATAAGATGAATTACTTCAGTACAAAAATTTTCTGCCCATCTTTCCAAAATTCATCCTGCTATATCCCAATGTCACATGAGCTTCTTTTTCCTCTCAGTGGCAGCACTTGAAGGTTTTACTTAACTTAAGTCAATTTTGACCTCCCGATTTTGCACCCCTCCCCCATGGCTGTTTCTGGGTCATGTTGTTTTCTTTTATCTCTATAAATAGTGTGACTTGTACTTGTCATTAATAAGTTTATTCTGGCTATGCCAAATCATTTCACAAGTATTAAAGTCATCAAAATATTTGATATGCCTCCCTATACACCATGTAGTGGCTACCTGATTAGGGATGATTTGTAGAATTAATTATATGCTTCATACCTTCATTCAATTCACCAATATATTGAACAGAATGGGGCCCAGAGCAGCTTATAGAGATCAGTGATTGATAGAGCTGCTTGGGTTGGCCCAAAAACCATTGACTTTTGCTATTTCCCATAACAAAGTACGGTCATATCTAGGTCACAGCTTTGTGGTAGAGTTGAATAATTTCAAGCATGTAGCCGGACTCAGTGGCTCAGCCTGTAATCCCTCACATTGGGAGGCTGAGGTGAGTGGATTGCCTGAGCCCGTGGGTTCAAGACCCGCCTGGGCAACTTGGCGAGACCTCATCTCTACACTAAGTTAAAAAAAAAAAAAATTAGCCGGGTGTGGTAGCGCATGCCTGTAGTTCCAGCTACTTGGAAGGCTGAGGCGGAAGGATTGCCGGAGCCCAGCAGGTCGAGGCTGCAGTGACCAGGAGCGGCCACTGCACTCCAGTCTGGGCAACAGAGTGAGACTCCAACTTAAAACAAAACAAAACAAAAAAATTTCAAGCATGTGCAATGGTGTTGAATAGCACAGCAGGTGAAGTTGTGAAGGAATGTGCATCCATGTCAAAGAAGAAAGAGATCTACAGACACAGCTGCTCAATTCCTAGGTATCCAACGACACCTGGGCTGTGAGAACCTGGGATCTGGTAGGTCCTAACCCTAACCTAACTCTAACCCATCTCTAAGACTCTGGTGCCAGGCTTAGTCAGGCTGGTGTGCATCTCTCCATTTGTGCCAAAATAAAGGAAGGGGGATTGGATGACACCACCCTTCGAAGTTTATGATCCTATCCTTCATTTAAACGATGTGATGTTATCTTTCTGTATAAACTCTCTCCACCTAACTTAACTAAAACGAACACTGCCATTAGTCTTCAATATGGACATAGAATGTATTATTTTCGAAAACTTAAAGGATCCTTCTGCTTAAAAATAATGTCTAACTTTAATGAAGTCTACCCGTTTTTAAAGTACCTTCTGGATGTATGTTCTATGTGTATGTTCTATTGGTTTCAGTACACCTCTTTTCTTAAAAGAGAAGGAGGAGGAGGAGAGGAAGTAGAGGTGGGACACAGTGGCTCACACCTGTAACCTCAGCTCTTTGGGAGGCCGAGGCAGAGATTGCTTGAGCCAGGAGTTCAAAACCAGCCTGGGCAATATAGTGAGATATTATCTCTACAGAAATAAAATAAAATAGTCAGGCAAGATGGTGCACACCCATCGTTCCAGCTACTCTGAGGTTGAGGCAGAAGGATCACCTGAACCCAGGAGGCTGAGGCTGTGGTGAGTCATGATCATGCCACTGCACTCCAGCCTGGGTGACAGGTTGAGACCTTGACTCAAGAAACATGAGCATGAAAAAAGAGATGAAGTTACAACCCATGAAATGTTAACACCAGAAGGATTTTAAGGTCCATCTGCCCTAATTTCCCACTTTATGGTGAGAAAATCAAACAACACCTAGAGATCTGATTTTTGCCCAGGCTAATTTCGGTTTTTGTAGTTCCATCTCAGAGGGAAATTATCTTGGCTAACTTTAAGTTTTAAATATGAGCTTAATTTAAATTCAAATGCATGAAAAGTGACTTGGGATCTATCTTTTCATTGGTTTTTATCTTCTATGAAAAGCAAATATTTTTCCCCTAAATGAAACCCTGAGGCTTCTCGTATGTGTGGTGGTAGCATTGACTCCATTAGGTCTATTTTTGATTCTTTCTCTCATAGGTGTTTTTCCCCCACATTTCCCAATTTACTTTTGTCATTGTCTCCATATGGTTAATAGTTCAATATTTTTGTGTGCTGGGTTCCCTTTTGCCCCATGAAGATCCACGTGCAGATCTGATCTCTTGCTTGAATAGCATTGTTTTTGTTTTTACCCTCTTGTTTCATATCTGTCACATTATAAAGTCAGTTATCGGACAGCATTGAGGAGTCAAAAATTACCTTTTCTCAAATGCTCATCGGGGAAATGCAAATTAAAACCACAATGAGATATCACCTCACACCTTTTATCAAAAAGGTGAATGATACGTGTTGGAGAGGATGTGGGAAAAAAGGAACTCAGACATTATGGGTGAGTATGTAAATTAGTACAGCCACTGTAGAAAATAGGGAGTTTCTTCACAAAACTAAACATAAGGTGCTATATGAGCTACTAATCCCACTTCTGGGTATATATCCAAAAGAACTGAAATCAGTATGGTAAAGGGATGTCTGCACCCCCCCTACTCATTACAGCGTTATTCACAATGACCAAGATATGGAAACAACCTAGGTGTCCATCAAGATAAATGGACAAAGAAATGTGGTATATATACATAATGGAATACTGTTCAGCCTTAAAAGGTGGAGGTCGGGGGAAGGAGCCTGTCATTTGTGACAATGTGAATGTATCTGGAGGACAATATGCTAAGTGAAATAAGCCAGGCACAGAAAGACAAATATCACATGATTTTTATCACATGTAGAATCTAATAAAGTTGAATAGAAGCAGAGAGTAGAATGATGGCTACCAGAGGCTGGTAGAGTGAGGAGGGAGGGAACAGGGAGTTTTTGATTAAAGGGTACAAAGTTTTCATAGATAGGAGGAAGAGGTATTGAGATCTACTGCACAACAGGATAACTATAGTCGATAATAATGTATATTTCAAAATAAGAGTAAATTTCAAAAGTCTCACCATAAAAAATCATAGGTAGGCAAGATTAAATTTGCTTGATTTAATCATCCCACATTGTGTCTGTGTGTATATATGTGTATACATAGTGATGTAAATGTATATATATAAAATCATCACATTGCACCCCATAAGTGCACCCTCATAAGTGTATACAATCATGATTTGTCCATTAAAAATAACACTGATAATAATTTTTTAATGACTTTTCTCAAGTTCATTACACTGTGTCTACTGACTTCTCGCCTCTGCATTTGCATCTTGATTCTTTTCTGTTCTTTTAAGCGATGAGGCCTCACGATGTTGCCTAGGCTGGCCTTGAACTCCCGAGTTCAAGCGATCTTTCTGTCTCAGCTTCCCTAATAGCTGGAACTACAGGCACACACCATCTCACACAGCTAGAATCTTGATGAACGTTCCTCCATTGCAAAAGTTCAAATGAAGGAGAATGACGGTTGGTTGCTCTAGTTTCTTTCTGTTTCCTTGGTAATTATTATAGCTCTCCCATCTAGTTGAGAATGGAACATGGTGAAAGATAATCTGAGGAAATTACTATCATGGCCAGACCTGAGCTTCCTGAGGTGGGAGAGTCTAAAAAATATGAAGGAAGCACATTACTTTGGCACGAAGGTGATTCTTACCTCAGAAGAAAGACCAAATTGAATGTGCTTGTTAGGGAAAGTGCTTGAGAGAGAAAAGGAGCTTGCTATCAAGAATAAAGTCTACCTTTCAAGGACATAACAAGAAGCTCAAAGCCTAATCTCAAGGGACCATTTCCTGGAAACAAGCAAACACATTTTGAGAATCTGGACACAAAACAGTTATGACAAAGCAAGCTTTATTTAATTGGTAGCAGGAGAATCACAACCTTAAACTCCAAAAAAAAGTAAATTTACAGTGATTTCACACACCAAGTTTCTTCCTACCCAAACTGAAGACTGATTTTCAAGGAAGGGTGATAGAAGGAAAAATGGTGCTTACCCAAGAGAGTCTTCATCCAACAGGCATACACTTTGTCTATCATGAGTTAAGCCCTGATCCAAAGGTTTGTTAACTCATAATTATATTGTCTCTCCTATACTGAATAACATATCAAGCGTTGGGAGAGAGATACAAATACCCCAATGTAAAAGCTCATTCCAGGTTGAACTGACCTTCCCAAAACGCAGTTTGGTCATATTCTCCATGCCAGGCTCCAGGAAAGAAGGTTGAGGAAATGACTACAAACTAATTTGCCTGCAACTGAGAGAGCACAGGATCTGCACTATCAGGGATAGTTTGGACCATGTCCATCAGGAAATGACTTTCTTCATATCTGTGCCTCCTGTTCACTTATTTTTAAGTTAATCCTGCCCCACATCATTAGAAGCATCAGTGACCAGCCAACATCCCAGTCTGTTTGTCTTAGATGGACATTTGTTCATTCCACAGGTCCCTCTTTCTCCCCCAAGGCCTTCAGTGAGAGCAGAGAGACAGGGGAAGAGGGATCGGCCTGGAGAAGCAGAGGCACATACAACTCAAGTCACAGCCATCGGTGAGGAGGACTCAGGAGAAGCTGTTCATGCAAAAGCAGAAGTGGAGCTCATGCAAGAACTCAAGGGAGAAGGGAAGGTTGGGTAGGCTGTAGCAACAGGAAAAAGGGAATCTTAGTAGAAGGTAAATAGTTGAGGACATGAGATATCCCAGACAGCTACTCATGCCCTCAAGAGCCAAAGTCTGTGACAAATCCTGAAAGATTTGGGGACTGATCACTTGGGCTCTTCCTATTGGCTTACTTGATGCCTCCTCTTTTTCTGATACAAGAGATTCACAGGCAGGCCCAGAAGGCCTCATTTCTCCTACAGTTTTCTTAATAGCCCCGAGGCAGCTGTCACTGGAAAGTCCAACTGCTTTTGCAGAAGGATAGCTACCCATGATTCACTTTCTCCTTAACAATTTAGAGAGTCACAGACATGGTCCATCTAGAAGATGAGACTGCTAAATGTCACTGGGCAAAGTGGAGACATATAGGAATTCCAGTGAGTGCTGTGAGATCACTATGGTGACTTAATCTCTGAGGTCCAGGATGTTCGCTCTTGGACTTGAGAACATGCTGGTTACACCTTCACTGATGGTGGGTAGAAACAGTGTTTCAGCCTTAGGTACCAAGTTCTGAGGTTTGACAGCGGCTTGCTGTTGAAGCATCATCTGCTGATCACTGAGTCATCATGAACTGGGTGGTTTGTCAGGTTTCGCAAGTTTTTCTTTGCATAATGAGATTGCACTGAGAAAGATCCCTGCTTTGGAAGCATTCTGGTCCTCTTGGAGTTTCTTAGAAAGCATCCTGCCCAAGCAGGTCCTAGGCCCTGCCACCTCCCCAAGCCGCCCTTCGATGACTCCCTGTCTTCTGTGGAGTGTTTCAGTTACAAAAGCCCAGGGGGAATGGGTCCATTGTCTTGGAAGGAAAAAGTTCTTCTGAAGCTATAGCTACAGAGGATAAATAAGGGCAAAGGTGGGTAGGAGGGAGCAGGAAGCGGAAGAAAGAAATAGAAGTAATAACCAAAGGGCGAACTGGTGAGCAAAGTGGAGTGAAGACACTGGTTGGAAAGCCAGCCAGGAAAATCAGGGAGGGCAGAAGAAGACGGGGAAGGGGTTTACATACGAAGGAATTTTCTCCTTCTAGGTCCACAAAGGCTGCTGGAGACCATCAGACCCCAGAAGGGCTCTGTGCCCTCCGCCCTGAGTGCCCCAGAACCTGACACTGACTTACTTGCGGGTGGCTGTGGTGTGCAGCCTCCTCCTCGATGCTGTCGGTAAACTCAGTGCTTGCATCTTCAGTGTCATCCCCTGCAGCTGCACCTGGAAGTCAGTCCAGAAAAGAAAGGTGATTCCCTTCGCAGATGGCATCCAGACAGTAGGTAAAGTTACACTCTGTGCCATCCACCTGTGATTTCTTCCTTTCCCCATTCCTATGGGGAAGAAATGCTCCCTAGTCAGCAAGGCCAGCAGGGAAAACAGAACCACGCCTTCTCCTTGCATCACTGATACTTTCTTACTAACACTCAAGCCTGAGCCTTAACACACAAGTGGTCTTTGCACAGACCTGTACCTGAGGAGCTGTCAGATAGACGCGGAAGCCTGAATTCTCCATCCTGCCACTGACTAGCTATGGAACAATTTTCTCTTCTGTAATATAGGCCAAACGTGACTAAGCTTTTCTCCACCAAGTGCTGAGAGGGTCCCTCATTTCCTGGAGATTAGGGCAGCCCTGTGCCTCTCACACTTTTCCATTGTTGAGCATATGGTGACAATCTGAGGAACTCCTGCTGGGGGACCCATGTCCTACAGAGGTTCGGGTCTAGTCTAAACAAGATCCAAGACACAGAATGGTTCAGGTGTTTCCTAATTCCCTCCTCTAATCTTCTTTCCTCCGCATCCCTCTCAAACTCTTGCTCAATGCAAACATCCTTTGCCTGAAGGGCTTCTTGCACTGCTTTGTCCAAATGAGATTTAATGTCTTTTTATTCCCTGAATCTCCGGTCACCCTAGGGTACAAATATCTACACCTTGCTCTGAGGGACAAGCAGCCATAGTGTGTGATCATGGCAACGATCCAGGGCACCACTGGCCAAGAGGACTTTCTGCAATGATGGCAATGTTCTGCGCCAGTGCCAGTCAGTACAATGAATACTAGTCACATGTGGCTTCTGTGACTGAGGCACTGAACTGATTTTATTTATATTAACCTATATTTAAATAGCCACATGTAGCTAGTGGCTACTGTATTGGACAGCACAAATCTAGGGCATTTCTTCCTCTTTGTATTGGTTAAAATAAGACTGCCTATACAATTTTAGATCAAGAACTGTGGCCGCATTACTGATGTTTTTCTCAGAATGTAGTTTATGGTAGTTAATTCATGAATACCAAAGAAAATGTACTGTGACACTCTGTGTGTCTTAAAAAGCCTGCCCAAGTTAGAGAATCTTGAGATCCAGTTCTGACCCTGGCCTCAGCAAGTAATCTGTTACAACTCAGCTTCCGACCATCGAATAACCTGAGCCTCAGAGATTGAGTAGTGATGTGCCCAAGGTTACACAGCTGGTCCTGACCAAAGCTGTGCTAACAAGTCAAGTCTTTGGACTCTTAGACAGGAGCCACTCAATATTTCTTCTGGTGGCAAATCAGATCTCTGTCTTGGATTCTTCCTCCAAGGCCAAAGAACCTGCTCCTGAGCTCAGACATCCATGACTGAAAAGCTTTGCGTGAAGAATGAGCATTTACCACCCTGTGCAGAAGAGGTGAGTGGGGACAGTTCACATGTATGCTCCATTTCTTGTCCTCTTCAAGTTCATGGGAGAGGATCTGCAATTGCCCAGGCTGATCTCATCAAAGTACTACGAGGTAGCATGCTGTGACGACAGTTCAAGCTCCCTGACCTTCACCGTGAATGTGGTGCTGACTGTGGGCCGAAGCAGGGTCCTGTTCCGTGAAGCCCTGTCTACAGGAAGGCACCTCTACCACGCAGGACCTTCAGGGGTCCGTGGCAGGCAGCGTACGCTAAGACGCTCCAGTGCTTACTCATTTAAGCCAGCCCCACCACCTCTACTTAGCCAGGACGCCAGTTGAGTAGAGGCGAATGGACACGACCCTAAGCTACGGCTGTTTTGGAAACTCACTGAATCCAGGGTACTAGTTCACCTAAGGACATTCATAGCATAGCATGCTTACTTTGGAAAATCTTTTCCTGGGCAACAGTAGAGATTCCAATCGTACATGTTTTTTTCTGTAAAGAAAATGAATTGTCCCACTCAGTGACAGATGAAGAAAATATGCTTCTCACATTGTTTCCCATCTGAGCACGAGGCTAGAGAATGAGCATGTGGCTGAACCAAGTGCAGCTGTGTGATGTCATCACCATACCACTGTTGGGTTGGGTAGCCATGCTGGGCTCACATTGCGAGATGATTCCTGTATTAGGCTCCAGGGATAAGTTAAGTAGGGGTTAGAACGGGTGACTGTCACTGTCTTAAATATTTCTGACACCTTCTGCCTTCACTTACCTTTGTCGGCCTTTCTGAAGCCACATCTGCATTTCTAGATAAGGCTCCCTCTTTAATTCACTAGGGCAGGATGCCACAGTTCTGACTTCACCAGGAATTAGATGGAGATAAAGGAAGAATGCTCATCTCATTCCAACACTCTACTACATCAGGGTGTTGCTTTGTTTCCTCCCCCCTTTCTTCTTCTTTTTTTTTTTTTTATTTAAAAAAACAATCTCACAGTTGTACCTTCTTCATGGCAGCTTTAAGAGTTGCTCAGCCTTTTACTGATTCAAATTAAAATGCTGGAATTTTCTGTGCGTGTTTAACTACAATAAAGCTGAAAAAATGTATAGAAAAATACGGGACTAAATTGAATAAGTTATCTCACACAATCCCATATATAAGTTTACATTATACATCTCTCTTTGTGTTACCAGTTCTATTTTTTAAAATAAATGACAATAGAATAATTCTTTTGTGGGGGAGGGTACCCTTTTCTATGCTTTCACAAGTTGAAAAAGCACTATCTCCAGAACTTGAAATATTTTATATTTCTAGTTTAAAGGTACCTATACTTTTATATTGGTGAATCTTCTGCTTATTTTGATAAAATGTGAAATAAAATGATCTGCCACCTTTAGAGTCCCTGAAAGCTAAGACTCTGTTCATTTAAAGTTAATTTGCTTCTCCAGAATTAGGTTTTACATGTTAGACTGGCAGATTTACTAAAAAAACTTTTTAAAACTTTTTTTTGAGGCTTCAATAAAAGCCCTCAAATTGTGGTTCTTGAAAGTTACTAGGCTTTGAGCCACACAAAATAAAGGTGACATCAAAATGTCTCTTATATAGATTTAGGAAAGTATTTTTTACCAGCTATCTGATTTGGCAAAGAATGCAGAAATTTAAAAAGCGTATAAAAACATAACACAATAAAATCCTTAAGTGCAAGTAAAAGGTATTCTTATCACTGGGTAAAATTTCATACTTCTGTTGAACTTACAAAATTGAAGATGTATAATGGTTAAGAACATAAACTCCAGAGCCAGAAAGTCTAGGTTTGAATTCTGCTTTTGTCACTTGTTATGTGGCTTTAGGCAAGTTATAAATTTTCCATAATTCCGTTCCCCTATTAATTAAGGCTAATAGTATTATACTCTCCAGTTGTAAACTTTAAAGGGTTTGCTGATTTTTGACATGCTGAGAACGTGCTTGGCATACACTGGGTACTCAATATTATTCTTAAACAATATTGCTGTTAATAAACTGAAGTGGTTCATGGGCTTAAACTTGAGGGCTGAAGAGCTGAAGACCACAGAACCCAATTACAGTCAGCAGAAGGAAGTTTCAAATCTGATGTTATTAACTGGATGATTTTAAGTGATTCTACCTGCAAGTCTCTCCTGAATACCTTCAGCAGGAGGCTTAAAATTAAATGTTCTTTGCTCTTCCTGCTTCACAGGACAGTTGAAAAAGCAGAGGTGTCACCGAAGTAGGATGAACTCTTTGTGCTTCACAAAAATAACTCAATGTCATTAAATTATAACTGCCAGGCTGAGCACAGTGACTCACGCCTACAATACCAGCACTTTGGGAGGCTGAGGTGGGAGAATTACTTCAGCCCAGGAGTTTCAGACCAGCCTAGACAACATAGCAAGACCTTGTCTCTACAGAAAGTCAAAAAATTAGCTGGGCATGGTGGCAGGCACCTATAGTCCCAGCTATTCAGGAGGTAGAAGATTCTTCTGAGACCAGAAGTTCGAGGCTATGGTGAGCTGTGATCATGCCACTGCACTCCAGCCTGGGAGATAGAGTCCCTCAACTCAAAAAATAAATAAATCATAACTGCCTTAAAATCCTGCCATGTATGAATAAGTCTTAGAGGGAATTTCATGATGTATTATTTTAATTATTTAGTAATGAGCCCAAACTGGGTGGGTTCAAAGACGATTTTCCCCATATTCTACTCTGCAGTCATTATTTTCCCTTTAAGCCATGAATATGGGATCACCATAAAAGGAGTAATATTTCTCCACATAGCCACTTAGAGCACAGCAGGGGTCATAATTTACTAAATTTGAAAGGAGATTTGAAGGTCCTCTTAGGCCCCCACCTCACTTCCATCCCAGGTACTCTGCTCTGTGCTCATGACAAGAACGCTAACGTTTTCACATCAGGAACCAACGACTGCTGACTTTAATATACAATCCTACACAAGAGCATCCAAGAAAAAAGATCTCCTACCATTTCACCTGCACATACTCCTTTCAGGCTAAGAAAACTACTGATTCCGTATTATTATCTGTAGTTTCTGCTGAGAAAGAAAATTTTTTATCTAGACAGATTCTGATGTTGGGACAGTAGTAGAAAACTGCTGTCTGCAGTCAAGCCCCTTTAAATTGCAACATCTCTTAAATAGCCTAGAGGGCTTTCCAAAAGCAGCTGATTTAAGTAACTTTAAAAGAAAGACCAAATCATAACTGAAAACAGTTTTGGGGGCAGGAACTCTCACTAGAATTCTAGAGTTTCTACTTTTTCAAAAGGATAAGTATTCAATAAAACTACAGATACCTAGTCTTTAAGCTGACTAGGCTATCTACATTAGGACTCCTGGACAGACCAGGAGATATGACCACTGTACCTATTCTGCAATATCGTTGATTCTGTAAAGTCAAGAAATTCTTCCTGCTCAACTTCTTTTTTTCTTCAAAGAACACAAGAAGCAGGCGTTTCTAGGAGCATTTAGAGAAAGCCCTCCCCATCACAACAGCTGGCTCCTCAAATCTCAGCCCTGCTCTCTACTGTTCTTCAAGGAAA